GGGGGGGGGCAAAAAAATCTATTAACTTTCCAGGGGGGGGGGCAAAAAAATTTTAGTAATGTTTTAATATAGTTTTAATTTAATGTAGCGTATTTGTATGGTGAACGAACGGACAGGACATCAGCTTAGTTACTTTCTCTGTATTTTCTCTTTAATTTAATAAATTTTTTGGCTATTTTTGTCTAAAAATTTTTTTTATCCAATCAGTCCAGGGGGGAGGGGCAAGTGCCCCCCCCCCTTGCCCCTACCTGCGGGCACCCATGTGACTAAAGAAAACTATTTAGTAAGCATTATTGTGTTGTAAAAAAATTTCGAACCATGGATGATATACCAATAATGACAGAGATTTGATATGCGCTCAATACGTTTAATACATAGGTTCTTTTCATTTAAATATAAGAACATACAAAAATAATATATTCAAGTTAAAAGTCAGGGTGATTCTGTCGGTACTTGACCCCTGGGGGTGGAGGGTCCTGACAATTAGAAAGAATGTATTGTCATCGGCAACGAGCCAGTTTAACATTTTTTTTTATTATACTGTTTATGATTAATGTCATGGAATACATTAGGATAACGCGTTATAAATGAACAGCGGCGTTTCTCATAAATAAATATAAATACATACTTTACACTGTATGGTGTTCGCCTTTGATTTGTGTTCTGTTAATCGTTCATTTTGGTTTACAATGTTTCATTTTTTTTATCAAGGTTTAAACTGGGCAAAATCTCTGGTTAGTTATTTTTTAAGATTAAATGAAAAATTGACTATTAAAAAAAGCCTATGACATACCCATTTCTTTAAAACATCGTACGACTAGTTTGTATGGGTTCATTGTGTATAATCTTTAAACAAATCTGCTATACTATTTTATGTAAACTTCCGGTTTCAGCTTATTCACTTCCGTTTTCATATTCTTTGTTGTTTAGTTGTTTGTTTTTTTTTTAAATTTAAATCACTTTTAGAACATGCGCTCATCCAAGTACGCAATACAAAGTCGATACAGTTAATCATAAATTGTATCTGTTGTAATATTTCAATGACACATCAAATGGAATTATCATTAAAATAACATTTAAATATGATGATCAACAAGGAAATAAATTGAGAACTTTGTCTGAAACATTGTTGAAATTATTTAAGTATTGCTGGTCTGAAATTTGAAAGATTAAAATTGATTTGGACGAATTTACTCGCTGTTTCCTGGAATATCACCTCCAAGAAAACAGCCACCGGGTGTCTACCGCCATTGCGACATGTGTGTGATTGTGATGTGTCAAATTGAATAGGGAAGTCTGCAAATCATGGTAAGTTGGATTCTCGTGGGTAGCAAGGAGATGGTTCTTTTGAACTGTTATATATTTATGCCCCTGTGAGTTTTGTATATATTTATGTCGATGATTTATAGAAGTTCTTCCTTTTCACAGTATTGAGCTAACTTTGTCGACAGTCAATGTATCCGAATACAAAATCATGTCATTGTCATATATGTATGTCAACGATTTAGAGAAGTTTTTTTTTCTTTACACATGCTTCCATGCGCGTTGAATTTTGTTGTTTGAATCAACATTTAGACCTAGTTTTATGTTCACACATTTTTTATGAATAATGTAGACATAAATCTATGTGCTGCGCCTCAGCCGATGACACGGTAACAATCCTATCAATTCTATTGAAACAAGCTGCTAGGATTTCCTGAAACAATCCTATCGATTCTATTGAAACAAGCTGCTTGTATTATAAAATTCGATTAAAAAAGAGGGGATCTTGATAATATTTCATCATCATTTTTGCAATCGTCATAATAGGAGAATATCAGTACGACTGGTCAACTTCCTATCTCACATGATAAATGAAACAATTAATTGTGTGAAACATTCCAAAAGATTACCCCAGCGTCCCCCCGAACCCAACCCCGCTCCCCCGAAAAAAAAATTATTAAAAAAAAAAAGAGAATGCTGTGTAACTACGCCTTGGACGTTTGTCTGGATAATTTGAATTGACATCCGATGTTTTAGATCAAATGTCAAATGGAATTAATGAGAGCGTTCAGTGTCCTCCTCGAACACAGTGTTAACGGGCACTTGATAATGTTCAATGTTAAGATTAAATCAGTAAACTTTCTGAAACTTCGTAATTTTGAAGACGCATCTCTCAGCAGGAATGAAACAGATCCCCATCGTGACGGAACCCTGATTAAATATCAATCCGGAAGACTTCTCGTTGCAAAATGGGATCCCATTTCACGATGGGATCGACTTCCATTTCTCGGTTGGTCCCCGACTCTGTCAAGCTGAGATCAAACTACCACCTTATTCTGGCGTCTCCTTATTTATTGGTTTTT